TTTTTTTTCCAAAATGTGAAAGGTTCATGGCCTTTGGCCCATGTGTATTATCGTCCCTGCCCTCACCAGCGTCATAAACTATATAAGGCATGGGATGGGGAAGTTCCACGCTCCATTTTGCTTTTTCACTGAATCACTCGATTGCGAACCAAAAACAAAACTCATTTTTTTTGGTTTTTTTTAGGTAGTCTTTCTTTTTTGTTGTTCACACATGATTTCCTTAGGGGTAAAAGCATATGAATAATAAACTACATATCCAGAAGCATTATGGCTGCCAAGTAGCATGAAGCACTAGAAGTAAAGCAAGTCCCAAGAAGAATCATAGCTGCAAAGTGGCGTGAAGCACTAGAAGTAAAGCACGTCACGTTATCAAGTTAAAATATTATTCTATCATCTTGCAGAAGCTTGAGGAGATAAAGAAATGGTAATATATTATGATGAGGACAAGAGGCCGTGAGAGAGTAGCATGCATCACTGATTGATCCACCAATCCACCGAGAAGAATAGTCTGATAAGAGCACATAGATAGAATAACATTTTTTTTCATAACTATGTTTTTGGTTAAAAGATCCTTCGTTAATTCTAAGTAGTAAATTTTTGAGTAATTAAAAAATTCCAAAAATCAAGAAAATACAGAAGGTGAATTGGAGGCTTCTTCGACTTCCTAGATACATTCAAACAGAATGCAGAGATTACAAAGCTTTATTTACTAGTCCTTTTTCTCCCCTTCCACTCTCTAACAAATTCTTGATGCTTGATACTTGTTTTTAACATTTGGAGTTGACGAAGTAAATCTTCATTTTCTAATTTGTTTTTCAAAAAATCACTTGAATCCAACACACAAATTAAAAGCGAAAATCAAAAATTATTCTCTTCCAATTTAAAGCATACCCATAAAACCTAATTGATCAAAAACTCAAAATAACTCTCTCTCTCTCTCACCAATTTTCAAAAATTTTAATTTTTGTAAATACATTTTAACTTGCACATAGCAGTCTCTCATTCTTTATATCAGTTTTTAGCTTCCTCAAACTCCATTCAAACTCT